GTCTGACCGAGACGGCCAACATTTGTTGTTTGTACTGAGCGACATGTTCCACCGGATCAGAAGTCCCATCGAACAGTCTCATTGAGGGGGCGGTGAATTTCCTCGGAATCTCGACATCGGTGATATGTCGTCCGAAGGGTGAGTCTGCGTAACAGGTTTGCGTCGCCATGTCAAGCGGACGTGGGACTCCAGGTATGCTGTTGAACTTCTCTCGCAATTCCCTTAGTTCCTCCATGATGACGGCCAAGGGATCTGTCAAGTTTGTTTGTATCTGCGGATCCGCTGCTTCGGGAGGCGAATATATGGTGACGACCTCTGGCTCTCGACAGCCTCGATTATTGATGTCGACATGTCTGGGGATGTCGACATGGCTTGGAACTTGTCGCCTCTGGTTGTTGATGTCGACATATCTGGGAATGTCGACATGATTTGGAACATGTTGTCTATGGGGGTGTGCAAACATATTTCGGAATATGTTCCTTCTGGGATTTGGGGGTGGAAAGGAACGAGTTGAGGGCCCTGCTCCTCCAGATGTGCCGGCCCCGAAGTGAGGGATGAAAGGTTTGGTTGAAGCCGGAATCGAACCCATGTCCAGTCTCGTTGCCAAGGTAGCCACATCCTCGCCCCGTCGTGAGCTTGAGGCTATGGATGCCACCGATTGCACCTGAGATCTCAAAGCGTCATTTTCGCCTTGGAGGAAGGCGATTCGTTGACGCATTTCCTCCCGGACAGCTTCTAATTGTGTTGCGTCGGAACTTTTGGATGCGCGGAGCTCTTCTCGGACGGCTTCTAGTTGTGCTTGAATCTCAGTAAACAGGGAGTTAGAACTTTCGGCCATAATTGATTCTCGTTTTGCAAGAATTTCCCACAGACGGCGCCAATTATTTTAACGAGAATTAAACTAATCTAAAATGGAATTGAAATGGGAATCAAGCAATATAGAATCAATAGAGGCGGATTTATGCTAGAAAGAAAATATATATATTATTGAAGTCTGTGTATGATCAGAAAGTTTGAATACAAAGAAATTGAGTAATGCATGAATATTTTTCTCTTGTATGACTATATCTAGTTCTATCTATGTGAGCCCCCTGCTTGGTATATTCGTATGCCATATATATGCTTCCCAGATCTTACGTTATGTAGGCATTGATCATTCCCATTTATTATTATTATTACAAAGATATTTGAATATTAATTCTCCACATTAATCATCATTATTGCCACTTTATTTCCATCCGTTAGGTCAAGGAAATAGGAAACTGCTCCCAAGTTTTTAGCTTCATTCAAATCTGTCTTCATCCTTTTTTATTCAGATCCGGCTTCGGCCCCTTTTAATGTTCAGACCATGTCTTCTTTCAGCCCGTTAACTTGCTTGAGCAAATATTTCTCGGGCCCAACAATATCCATGCATGATATAATACGTTATCCATTTATGTGAATACACTTATTATGCATGCATGTTATATTACTAAAATATAAAGATTTTATAGTGTTACATGCCCCCGTAAGTCATTTATGAACTTAGTGCATGGATGTCAAGTATTACTCCGTATTATTTTACTTCAATGGTACGGTGAGGCATCATTTTAAAATGCTGATTTTTATTATTATATGCTACTCCCTCCGTGTATCTATAACTAAATATTAGGTTTTCCTAACATGTAAATTTAGGTAAAAAGTAATGCAAGCATATCAAACATGCATATACATAAATATGTTAATGCATGCATGTTAATTATAATAGCACATATCTATCCTAATTAAAATATATGGTTTCATGCAAAATATTCTACATGCTCGTATATCACAGAATCGTTATAATTATTCTAACCGTGTTAATTTTAACGACTCTACTTCTTAATAATACAGAGCTAAGCTTTATTTCTAGCTGATCTTCGTATTGATTTAAACGAATGTAATTACTATCAGCTATGACAGATTGATGTGTCTATAAACTTATAAACTCAAAATTCTTGTAAATTAAGAACACATAGAGCATGCAAAATTTCTAAGGTTATATAACATTCATCATCCCCATAACACAACGGGAAACGGGGACGGAAATCAATTCAATAATCTAAATGGTCGGGACGGAAACGTACTGACCTCGTAGAGAAATCCTTCTGAAGATTTTGGTAGTATAATAGTATGGAAACCTCTGGCCTATACTGCTATCTTTCTCCTATACGGCCATCTTTCTCCTTATCCTTGCTAGTTCCGATTCTTCATATCGTTAGCTACTGGTCTCCTCTTTTATGTTTATTTTAGTATATTTGTGCTAAGCCACTTTCGTAAAGTAAGTGATAAAATATCTGATTTGGTTCTATATGTAATATGTATGACCACCGCCTATAATAGTAGAAGTTTATACTATCAAAGCATGGGAGTACGTGAAGCCAAATCAGTGTTACGTTGTCCGCTCTCACATGCTAGTAACACGTATATATGGGGTATAGGGAAACTTCCATGTGGAGATTGGCATGCATATCACAACAATATATGCCTGATCGGTCATAGAAGTGTTTAGGCCGGCCTCCAAGTGTACTTTACCATGCATGTTAGGACAACCAGCTGCTGAGTTATTTGTATACATATTGCAGGCGTAGGCTTTTCTTTTGCAGCCAAGTGGGTTGGTCATGAAAAGCTAAGATTTTTTATTATTATTAATATATTAAGTATAATCTAGCTTATGTAACAAATCTTACAAATAGTGTCGTATATGTTGCCTTTTAAATCCCAAAATTTGATCATGAGTCTCCTAGCATGTCACGGTTACACCTTTTTTTATAACATTGGATTTAAGATATCATAATTATCTTACCTTCATTTAAATTATTAATACTTCGTATTTATTGTTTATTTAATAATAATTTAGCAAATTTTAGAATCAATGAGAAAGAATATTATTCGAATTTACGTTACCGGCTAGACCGGGTTTTGGGGTATTATAGAAGCAGGGAAGGAAAAGTTAGTGGAAGCATGGGCATGGTGCAGAAGAATAAAAAATCGGGAGGAAGTATTGCGTGCAAACGGTCGGTGCTTGAGAAAAAAAGGCAGGGTGATTTTAATTAGAGAAACGCTGCGTAATGGCATCGGCACACCATGCGCATGGTGTGTCGATCCCACGAAATAATTTGCGCAGGGAGAAGAGGCCGGCAGGAAGGGAGGAAGACCAAACAGACGTGAATTAGAAGAGTCTGAAGTGATGTGTTTCTTCTCTGATTGGATGAAAGTATGTGTTCGGAGGAGCAATGTGGAGTGTGATTTGTGAACATTCAGTCGGAGGATTGATCTCTTTTTACCTTTTGAAGATTTGATGAGAGCAAAGTGAAGGGTGGGTCATTCTCACTATACGAGGTTTTCACAGTTCACCACTTTGATGTACATATCCTAGTATTCCAAGAACCCACGAACATATGAGAGGTCAAACCACGAGTTCTTCAACTTGTCCTTTATGTTCTGAGTATTGTTTATGTACTTCTACACACAAATGACACAATGAGCCGCTTGTTATTGGTTAAGTGTGTGCCTGAAGTTTTCAACAATCCATCTATAAGGTGACTCGAGTTCAAGACTCGTATCAGAAGTGGACTTGTGAATCACAGGGATCAATGGATCATTGACCATTTTAATTGGGACAAAACAATAATCTACAATGGCCCAACCCAAACACACTTTTGATACCCTTCACCATGAGACCGGACCAGAAACGAGACAAGTGTCAAAATGGTACTCAATTTGTCTCAAGTAGCATAAATAAGGGGTACATTACATTACACCAAATACTCTAAAGTACATCAAATTGGTTTTTCAGTGTAAATTGAGTGTGTCGCTATTACAAACGTTAAAGAATAATGAGCTGGCTACAGTGGGTGAACAATTTTATTATACGTTGACATGATAAAAAAAAAGTGCGGAAGTACAAAAACGGATACTTGAATTAATTAAACAAATGCTCTTCAATTATGCTCATATTCCTTTCTTTCATCTTATCATTGATGTTTCCATTTTCAAATCACATTTTCCAACCTCCAAATTAATTCTCCACCATTTAGAACTAAGAAACAGACATCTGAAAACCAAAACTGAAAAATCATAGCAATCCAAATATCCAACGATTTAAACTCGGACAAAGGACGAATTTGTAAAACTGCACAGATTAGGAGGAAGTACTAGTGTACTACTTACTCCCCAGGAGACAATTTGATGTACCAAATTGAACTTTTACTCGACCAAAAACAATAAGAAAATAATATGAAGAAAAGGTAAGGTCGTTTATACATATCACCTTTACCTCCAATAAATTCTAAAGTTAATATATGACATGTTTTGTATGTGCACTCACATGGCAAATATCTCTAAAGGTGGACCTAGTTCCTGAATCATACTGGGCAGGCGAATCACCAAGGCTAATTGGGGCAGGAAAAGAATCCAAAACAACCCAATCCAAATACAGTTCTGATTCCTTCAAAAATGAGACCGGACTACTTCAAGTCCTAATTTTTTAAATTAAAATATAAAGTGAAAACTACACCAAAACTAGTATTGAAAACTACAATAAGCTTTATGCCAAAACCATACTAGAAATTCTAGTTCAGATAACGACTTAACGAGTGACCAGCTTTGGGGACCGAGTGGCCAGCTTTGGGGACCGGCGTTCCAACACAGGACCAGGGCAGCCAGATCAGCCCAAGCCCATCCCTATCCATTAGAACAAAAAACTCATCCTAGCAAACTAGTTGTACCCGTTAATATAGAAGTTTGCTGTACAAAAAGCATGCAGAATTAGCACCCTAAGTGAGACAAGTGTAAACTCATGCTTCAGAATTAGCACAACATGCAAAATAAGAAAATAAAAAGTTTAATTGAGATTGTTTTAGGAAAAACAAAGAATTAATATCCACAATACGCCTCTTTACTTGAAAGGAAATAGGAAGAACTTTTTGTGATGGATAAAAGGAAGTAGTAAGAGCATTGGGAGACAAGGGAGTCAATGGTAAGAAAAAAAATGATGAAACCACTGCAAACCTTTTAAATTATATTAGACGCACTGGAGAAAAGGGAACCCATCCACTTATGAAGATGCATAATTTACAAACCCAATCAGTTTGAGAATCAACATGAGATATAATCCTGACAAATTAACCAGTAATCCAGTACACATAACCTAATCACAATCATACCCACCCAAACCAGCAAAGTGAATTTCTGAAACACGACGAGCCAACAAACAATTTCTTGTCATTGATAACGAATAATAGTGCAAACCTTGCGTGTTTACTTTTAAACTGCCTTGCTTCCAGCATATGAAACTGCCCATTTTCTGAATAATAAATGAAGAGCTGAATTTCAGAGCAGTAGAGCAGCATTATATCTTATCTAGTTTTTCAGCCTTGACAACAGGATTTGCCTTGGATATGGCTTCCTGTGCAGCAGAGTGGTAGTCGAAGGGGCAGTCATGTTTATCCGAGTAGCGGTGAGAGCCACAGAAGAGGTCACCGCACCGGCATTTGAATCCAGTCAACCCGACCCGCTTATTGCAAGTGGTGCACCTGTTGGGCCCCTTCTTGGGTTTAATAAGCTCCACAGCATCCCCGGAGCTTGAAGCTTGGGATGATGGCAAAGACACAACATTTACTTCTGCTGAAAGAGTCTTGACATCCACAGAACCAATGGCAACAGGTGGTGGTGCTGTCACACTGCTGCTCGATCCATTAACAAGATTCTCGAATGAGGAGACAGCAAGCTTTGCTTGCTCTTCTTTTAACATCATGTCCTTGTAGCACTTCGAGCACATGTTCATGTTCGCTGCACTTCCAAAGAATCCACAGTTGTTGACACACAAAATAGGGCCTTCTGGATGGGATTGGCATCCTGTCTCATCGTGCTCCATCTCTCAATTATTCTGCAACAATATTCCTGATACATCCATTTTAAAAGAGTATTATAATATTTCTGATTCTGAAGCAGAATGGCAATACCAAAGAAAGGGATTTGATCGCTACACAACACAAAGGGAATTTGCTTAATGTAAGTTCAGAAAGTACTTTCATCATATTGTTTCTTATCAATGATTGCATCCACCACATCTGGAAAGCTATCAGATATCTCTGATAGCAATAAAGAGCAATGTAAGGTGCTATCAACTAATCCAAAACTACAATGGGTTGCTGAATGGAGAGAAAAGTAATCTACCAATCTTCTTTTGTCCCCATTCAGCCAAATTTCAAATCCACAGTCAGTAACCGATCACACATGAACAATTTGCAAAAACAAGGTTAAAACCAAATCAGATATTGTGAGTCATGAGAACCAATTACCATAGGTAAAACTGAACAAGACATGCTGTAAATACCCATACTGGTCATCGAAAAGTAAACACCCTACATAATGTTTCACATACAGTATACTTCTTGTACAAGAAAAGAACCATTCAACTCTACAGAAAAGACATGTTTAATTCATATAGTCGAACTACCTCCACTCATCTCTGAGCACAACCACAACAGGGCAGAAAAAGTGACTACTTATGAGTTCACTACTCATACTTTCATACTTCCAGTTGCAATCCGCAACTGGAAAAATGCAATCTTTGTTGAGCATCAGCCTTCAATAAAAGAATAAACGTCCAAGCCCTTTTTAACTTTGCATCTTTACCTGATTGTACTAAATACATGCCTGTCCTTTTCCTTACAGATCAAGAGAAACTATTCATGATGAACAGAATTATCCAAAAAAATTGTAAACTTTAATACAAATTAAGCAAAAACCTTCATCAAAGGGAAAACATATGAATTTAAAAGAGGAGGCTACATGGTCGATCACCGATGAGATAACGAAACATTAATCAGACAATCTTGAGTGAAAAAACACCTAAAATTAAAGAATATATACAGAAATTTCAGCCGATCGAAACAGATCTGCATACGCATGAAATAAAATTGATTGCAATACAAAACAAAGAGATCGATGGATAGATATCGAAAAACTGACCAGAAAAAGGATTGATAGATCGCTAAGAGAGTTCCGTCACGCGAATGAATTATATAAATAAAAGATTGAAAAGAGAGACGGAGGGCGAGAGTTTGTCTTCCAGTTGGATCCACCTTGCATTATACATTTTCAATAAATAGGAAACATAGATAAAAATAATCTGAACTATCAAGTCATCCGTTGTAAAAAAATTAAAAGTATCAATTATATCAAAATATTCACAATTATTAAAAAAAATCAAAATACTCTAGGGATAATAAAATTTTATAAGTCATTTATGTATTATTTATCGTATCTGGAGTATTTTGATATTCTTTTTCAACAGTTAATTAGGATTATTTTAAAATAATTCATATTTTGGATTATTTCAATCATATCACTTATAGTTGAGATTATTTTTGTTCATTTTTTCCAATAAATAAGGAAAATTGCATAATTTGAACCTCTAACTTTCCTAATATTATTAAGTACTACCTTAGCGGCTCCGCCCCTCACTGGTTGTCTTGTTTTAACGCACAATTATTAATAAAGTGATTGAAAAGTAAAACTTTTAATTGAGATATGATTATAATAAAGTGAAATGATAAGAACCACATATTTCTTGCCAAAAAAAGAAAACACGACATTCATTTTGGTACAACTCAAAAAGAAAAGTAGGACAACCAAAATGAGACAGAGGGACTGATATTTATTAGGAAAATAAATACTCCATCTTTTTTTAATAAATATCTTTTTACACAAGCGATTACTCTATAGTCTCTATTTAATATCGATAGCGAAGGAGCAACCCCTAGTGATGGCAATCTCACATGACCCACTTGATACCCGCAGCGAACCAAAGTACTCAAAACGGGGAAAACTATGTTGACTGGGTAATGGGTACGGGATAGAGAATATCCAATTTATGTAAACGGGTAATGGGGTGGATATCATTTTATACTTACTCGCCCCGTAACTGCCCTGTCTAGTTCGGGTACGGTCACCTGAACCATTACCTGACCCGTCTACTATCTTATACTACCTCCATTCTTAAATAAATGCAACACTTTGACTTTTACACTATTCACATATTCTACTCTGACTATGTTTTATTTATTAATATAATAATAATATTTTATGAAAAAATATTGTTAAACTTGGCTCATTGTAAATTTTCATAATTTAATTTTTTTAATTTTTTTACTAATACAAAATCATTTATATTAATGGTCAAAGTTGTGTCTCGTCAAGTGTGAAATGTTGACCGTTGCATTTATTTAAGAACGGAGGAAGTATATTTTAATAGATTGTATATTTATTAAAAAATATATTTTTAATAGATTATATAATTATTAAAATGTATATATATTTTAATAGTTTGTGTATACTATGTATAATGTATTACACTTTTTAAGCTATACTTCATGTGTACCATATTTAATATATATATATATATATAATATGTATTATGTAATATATTATACAGTATATAATACTCTCTGTTAAGCTATGCGAGAGAGTGTCCTTCATTGTTGTAATAAGATTTGATTTGATTTGATTTGTGGTGCTCATTGAATTTTTATCCGGTGATGAATAATAATTAAGTGATTGTCTGTGAGTGATACTATTTTGGAAAAATAAAATTACATTTTGATAATGTGGTTAATTGCGGGGATTCGGAGAAGACCGTTCCACATTTTAACCAGGTACAGTCTGTTAGTGCAATTATTTGGCAATATATTTTGCATTAAAGAGAGTTGATCACAAAAGTTAAAGAGGCTTAATGATGGCTGTTGTAACGGATTTGTGTTTATTGCTGGAGTTATCAACGATATTAAGGCTGAAGGTTACTTATTTTGAGCTGGCGAGCATTGATGACGAGTTGCGAAACCGACGACGGGTCGGAACCGTTACGTCAAACCGCCAAGACAGACAAATTGAGTCATTGAAGCGTCAAGAATATCATTTTTAAATATTGTAACGTTTTTTGTACATTATTGGGCTCCTTAATGTGATTAAGGAGGGTATTAAATGTGTTTGACCAGCCTTTATGACGGATTTGAATCCGTCGGTACGTAACGGACGGCCAATCCGTCAATAACGGAAAAAACCATCATTAGAGCTTTAATTGCTTTTCCTATAAATAGAATAGCCTCATTGTAATCAAGGCAGCTGAAACATTCGAATAACACACAAGTTTTCATTCTTATTCACTCTCTTGTCATCTCCTTCTCTATTCTTGTTCGAAGCCCTTTCTTTATACGAATTCCTTTTTAATTAGTTTTAGCTTATCAATATTTTGCTTAAACAATTTGGCGCCCACCGTGGGGCATCGTGCAAGAAAGAGTTTAGATATGGCAGGAACAAATCAATTGTTGATTGAATTCCATCAACAATTGGAGACAGTCCGAGAGGAGATTCGACGTGAGATGGCGGAGAGGATGGCCCTTCTTCAACGGGAGAACGATGTACTTCGGTCCCAGGTTGGATCTCGGAGTCTCCCCGCCATCGACGACTCCACTCGCGGCATCGACGGATCCAGTATCTCTTACGTTGGGTCTGTCGCCAACGCCGACTGGAGAGCCATACTCGACGGTCATATCGCAAGTCATCCCATATACGCCACTCGTGCCAGAGACGACGCCACCAGCCAACATACCAGTTTGTTTCTTCCCGGAAACCCTTCGGGTCAGATCGAACGGGTCAGGCTTGCAGGCAGCAACTCAAAGCATGCCGGCGACGAATCTGCATTCCATCCCGACGGAACCATCAATTCCCCACTATAGGAGCACAACCTGTGGAAATCCCGGTCCGTCCAACTCTAATCCGTCAACTGGTGCGACTCATGTCCCGACGGAACCGTCGGTTCCTCGTTACCAAAGCAAAACTTACGGAGACGTTGATCCGTCAAGCTTCATGCAGGATGCCAGACGTAACGGGCCTAGTGTGTCATTTCTGGAACCTCAGACGCAACGACTTGGCAGACCTGTCATTACATCAGCGCCGACATTACCTGAACGGCGCCCTGAGATAATATTCATTCCGTCACCGACCCGACCTGAAGTCACCCAAATGGTCGGACCAGCGACTTCGACTCCATTGTCAATTCACCCGGTCATAGCAGATCAAATGTCCATGATGATGGAACAAATGCGTCAGATGCAAGATAAGATCAACGGATTGCCATGGGTACCCCCACCCTTGGACAGAGCATCGAGAACGTGTTACGCAGAGTCTCCATTCAGCAGACGGATTACTGAAGTCGAGATACCCAGGAAGTTCGTCGCCCCTTCCATGAAGATGTTCGATGGTACGTCCGACCCGGTGGAACATGTTGCCCAATACAAACAACACATGCTGGCCGTATCACTTCGACCAGACCAAAGGGAAGCATGCATGTGCATAGGATTTGGAGCGACACTTTCAGGACCGGCCTTAACCTGGTTCGTCAATTTGCCAAATGAGGCTATCAATTCATTTGCTGAGCTCGTCGACTTGTTTAACCAGCAATTCGCAAGTAGTCGCGTTTTGGAGAAACAAACAAGTGATCTATACAGAGTTGTTCAGCGACGAGGCGAATCATTGAGGGATTATCTTCATCGTTTCAACAAAGAAAAAGTGTTGATTCCAAGGTGTGACATACCAACGGCAATTGAGGCATTCCGAAGAGGTTTGATCGACGATTCAGAGCTGTACCGTGAACTGACGAAATACCCTCTTCGATCCTTCAAAGATGTCCAAGCAAAGGCATTGGCTTTCATCCGCCTAGGAGAAGACTTACGATCCCGTCTTGGACATGTTGAGCATGATTGGGGGCACGGGAAATCAGAATCTCCTGAGAGACATGATTACAAGTCTGGGAAACCTTATTCAAGACCTGAGCAACGAGTCGTCATTCCATGACGAGATGAACAAGACAAGGTGATTGAAGTCTCGGACGGGGGGCATATCTTCCGATGATAGACAGATTCTAAAGTGTTGCAACACGGTACCCTTAAAGTTGTTTCATTTTCAGTTTATTGCTTTCTTTTGCATATTGTCATCATTTCTATGACGAATCACTTCTGTGATGACTCACTTCTGTGACGAATCATTTTCATGACGAATCACTTTCATGATGAGTCATTTCCGTGACGAGTCATTTCTGTGACGAGTCACTTCTGTGATGGGTCACTTTCGCGGTGAGCCTCCTCGCGACAAGTCACTTCCATTACGAGTCACCTTGGTAACGAGACGATTTTAATCATCGGATGGGGGGCATATTGTCTGGCAATAGACGTGTTCTAATGTAAGATATGTGTTTAATTTTGTATACAAGTGCTAAATTCATTGCTTTCCTTTACCTGAAAACAATCACTAACTTAATCGTCGGAGGGCCGTTGGCTTAAGGCCAATGACCAATCCTAACGACGTTTTAAGTGCAGGAAACCAAATGAGGTGCCAGGTAAGTCTCTTTGATACGTCGCACGTCCTCGTAAGTTCAATTAGAAGTCCATGACGTATTGGGTACGATGGATCTGTCAAAGCGTCATGGTTAGTCTGTACGTCACTTTGAGGTCGTGTCTTACTTTCTAATTTGACGCCTGGCAGAACTGCAATTTTAACGTGCAAATCTTATGTCATTTATAGACTTGGTATTTTGGATTGCTAAAATCTTAATCCTCAATAGTTAATAATCTTTGCATTTTCCTTCAAATCATTTTTGTAACTTATCTTAGTCGTGAACTTTAGTTCAATATATTTTGGGGTCCTCCGTGGGATCATACCATTGTCATTCCGCTGAAAGAATGTTGTGACGTATTCAGTGTAAAGTATACATTTTCGTTTCAAGATAGATTCATTGCTTTTACTGACTTAACCATTTGAGGGTCGTTGGCCTAAAGCCAACGGCCAGCTTTGACGGTTTTTAATGGATGCAGGACTATCTCGACGCATAAGACCAAGCAATTACTGAGGCAACTAAGATTTCAACCATGCTCTTGCCAATTACATATTACACACTAACATCAAATGGGAAAGGGCTGGGCTGCCCATGAGAAGATCATGGATAACAGTCCCAGCCGGCCCTTACAACATATATATTTTTGGCCAAAACTTACACACATATATGACAACGCACGTGTAACCAAAACATATATGACACCGCACGTGCAACCGAAACGTATATGACAACACGCGTACATAAAAAAAATACAGAACTACACAACGAAAGCACACGCTCCAACATAAGGA